CTGTTTTCACTGGCGTTGCCACCCGAGTGGAAGAATTAGTGTTTTGAAACAAATGTGTTTGGAAATACAACTTCTCTCGAGTGTTTGCGGGGAGGATTTTTAACACGAGGACCCAGGAGCTCCGCTGCCAGGGGCAGCACGTCCACTCGGATGCAATCGGAACCTGAAGTGGGAAATTGCTCCAGAAGTTGTACGTTAGAAAACGCAGTGAAACGAGCAGAGTCGTTACCTGCCCTGTTTGTGTTGAGTGTGATCATGGCTTAGCGCTGACATTACGTGCCCTCGTGTCCATGGAGCAGGGCCAGATCCTGACTCCTGCATGGGGAAAAGGAGACACATGCCCTCGGGCTTCTTGCACCAAGAGGTGCTCCAAGGAGTGACAGCAGAAACCAGATAGCAGAGATGAGCCTGCGAGGGGGGACGGGGTAGGAGTGGTAGGAGTGTTGATTTGAAAATCAGCGATTTTTGAAAATTTGGGAAAAAAAAATATGTGCAGATTTGCAGACAGAGGGAAGGCGAGGGTGGGATATGGGGGGGAGTTGGGCTCCAGGAGTGGGGAGGAAGCCCACAGGGAGCACCAGTGAGACTCACTCAGTGGCAGACAGCGAAGGAGAAGTGATTCACGAGGTGGAAGAGCAGGGTATGGCAGCGGGAGAGGGCAGCTCTGACAAGTCTGAGGGCAGAGGGAGGGAGGGAGAAGAAAAGGAGATAAAAAGAGATATCTTATGGGTTGTAAGCAATGAACTGAGCTGAACTAGCATGGGGCTTGGCTCTTCTGCCATCCCAGTGGGTGATCCCGGCTAGGAAACTCGCCGGGGGAAGGACTTGGCCTTCAGGAGGCACCATGGTCTCATTCGGGAAGGTCTGGTTGGCTTCTGACAGCTCTGCTGTCCTGTCCCACACCTGGCCAGATGTGCTGGGGGATGGCACGGGGAGGCTGCTGTTCAGTGCAGCCATAGCACAGGGAAGGGATTTGTCCCCCGCCCGAACACTGGCACGGGCTGGTCAGAGAGGTCGGGGAGTCTCCATCTGTGGAGATATCAAACCCAACTGGCTACAGGCCTGGGGAACCTGCTGCAGGCGTTCCAGATGATCTCAAGAGGTGCCTTCCGACCTCCACAGTTCTGTGATTCAGTCATTTCTCTGACATTTAGCAGCCTCCTTTGCTGACATCTACTACTCACACTTGAGCAAGTCCCCATGGCTTCATGTGTAGCATTTCCATGGTGCGATTTCTCCAGCTATCCCGGACAGCTGCTTCCGAAGGAGATGAGCTTCCCCAGAGGAGCATCTCACCCTCCATGGCCCAGAACAGGAACAGGGACCTCAGATCTGCTGAGGGTGTGAGCGCTTGTGCTGACCTCTCCATCTTCCCCCCACCACGGCCCCATCCCGTCTGGGACAGACACCGTGGTGGTGACAGCACCTGGGTCCTACAGCGCTGCACTCCTGGGAGGAGGTATCTCAGACACCACCAGTGGGGTGCTCAAGACCATACAACGTTCAAGTCTAGCAGACTGCTGTGAACCAACTGACACCTTGAGCATCCCTGTCCTGTCCCCAGGGATGACATTTTAAGCCAGAGAGGTCAGTCCTGAGTGTGTGGATGTTTCACAGGATTGGGCAGTTGAATAAAATTACCATCCTGAAGGAGGGGTGGTTGTCCTCTAACACATTTTCCCACCACTTTTGTTGAGAATGAACAGAAGGTAGATAACGCCAGGATCACCTGTACTTGGTGTATCTGAAACTACCTGTAGTTAAAAATTAAATTATAAGTGACAAGATCACAGCTCGAATGGTTTATGATCAACAATGAATTCCTCCTTCATGCCGTGCAAGAGATGTTTTATCACCTGTTCTAGAAGATTAGAATTAAATGTTCAGGTGACCAAAGGCAGGGGAGATTTTTCTCACCCATACTCGGAGCTGGGGAAGCCATAGCTATGTGGGGTTTTCTGCTTGGAAACGTAGCTGGTGTCCCCTGTTAGTCCCTGGAGAAAGACGTGGACTGCAGGGTAACACCCACAGCAGAAACGTGGTGGAGAAGGTGTGAATCCCCCACCGAAACCTCAACAAATGGTGTGAGCACTTGGGAGGCTGTCAAGGACGCTAAGTCCATGCAGGTGGGACTTTGCACGGCTTCACCATATCACTGGTTTTGGCTGTGACGGCTTTTGGTCAGGACGTGACTGGAGACAGGCAGGGGGTGAGATATTCACGAAAATATACTGAGGAATCAAGGACACATGTAAACCACCCATTACAGTAAAAGTTTATTTCAAAGATCCTGTTTAAAAACTATCATCTGATCCAAGCTGGCATGAATCCATCTCACGCTTCACACGTCAGACCAAACTGGGATCCATCTTGGTGTCCTCAGAATCCCCAGAAGATCTCAACCTCTTCCCAAGCCCCCAGTGATGCTCTGCTGACCTCATCTTCCCCACTCTGAGGATTCAGCCCCAGGACATCGGACCCAAGGATCTGGTACATAAACCTCACTTACATCCTGGCTTGACGTCTCCTCCCGGGGATCACCCTGGGCAAAATGACTATGGGGACACAGTCCAGGAGCACCCACCAGATCCCACTGCCTGGCAGAGCTATCCAGCTTTCATTTATCAAAGATAGGGCTGCAGTTTGGAGGAATAATTGGGTTGGAGCAATGGGAGTGAGGCCAGTCTGAGGTTTTGTTATGTATCTAGATGCCCCCGAGATGCAGGTGGGTGCATCATTCATGAATTGCTAATATTTTAATCAAATCTGTATTTTTCTGTATGGTGCCCAAGGATGCATCCTGCGCCACAGAAGCCCGAGTGCCTCAGAACCTATTTACGCAGGAGAGGATTCGAGCCTTTCTAATTGCCACCCAACAGCTTTCACTGAAGCTGCTTAGGGGAGAGTGAAGACATTTATGTAGGCATCCGGAGCGAGAGGACACTTGTCTGGGAGGACATTTGGAGAGGAGTTTAATTTAGCAGCCGTGAATTGTCCCTCTAAAGGAACGTCTCCCTCCATCGACTATCGAGCCAGGTGGCAACGTCTTCTCATGCCGCATGCCTGGGTTTCCCAGTCCACGCAGCTCTCAAGGGCTGTCATTTCCCCCTGGCCTCAGCCACACTTGACAAAGCCTCCAAAAAAAGCTGTGAGGTTTAGAGGCGATGGCCTCAGGGATGGAGAAGGGCCAGGAGATAGGCTGCCCACAGAGCAGGGGTGGCCGAAGGAGTCACCTCGTTGTCCGTGTAAAGGGGTTGTACGTTGGCCACCACGCCCAGACATACCCGATCATGGTGTGCATGGAGCAGTCCTGAGCTCCTCTCTGAGGTGGAATTAAGAGGCCAGCCTGCAGGGCTGGCACCCAGGCAGAATCCCAAGCGGGCAGATGTATTGCCCAGCCCGGTCCCACGCACACTGGCTTTGTGAGTGCCCGCTCCTCCTGCACCAGCAGAGCCGTGAGCCGGGCTGGGCCTGAAAACCCTGGAGAAAAGAGATGGAGCCGAACAGGCACAGGCCGGGATCTTCTGTGGGTGGATTTGCATTTGGGCTGTGCCCATCTTTGGAAGAGCTGCTGCTGGTCCTACCTGGGAGCTGCTCCTCTGCCTTGGCTGTGTGCTACACCTCCGGTCTATGCCTTGGGTGGTGTAGAGGGGAAGGTGGAGAACTTTACGCCCTCCAGATCGTGAGCCAGGCTTTGGAAAGAAAATATCAAAGGAAGGGCCAATATTGAACCCTGGGAAGCTCCTCTAGATGTGGGAAGAAAAGCCTGCTCTTCCTCTCATGTTTCTCCACCAGCCTCAAACACAACAGCCCACTCCCATCACATGACAAACTTTGTGTAGTGAAAACTCTTCCTTCGCTGCCCTTAGCGATGCAAATCTGCTGTATGCTCTCCATCTGCTGCAAACTGCCGTGTGCAGCTGGGGGATTCAAAACCGTTGAGATGCTCTGTTGGGAAAGGAGCCTGGTGGGGGACCTGGAGCACAGGTCTGCTGGGGAGCGGCTGGGGGAAC